GACAAAAAATGGATTCTCCCTCAGAACCTCTGCAGAGAGTGCAGCCCCATAAACACCTTGATTTTTGGACTTCTGGCTTACCAAACTATAAGAATATTATTCTGTTGTTTTAAGCCACCAAATTTGTGGTATTTGTTATAGTAGCCCTAGGAAATTACCATGAGGGGTAAAACAATAAAACAGAAAGCAAAAAATGGACCTCATAAGCATGAAACATGTCATTTGAGCCAAAATTTAACAGAAACAACAACAAAAACCGATGAAAACCTACAGTCCCTGACAATACCATGTCCATAAGCATGAGTGCTGAAGGCAAAGTCCTGAAGTCCCCATGCATGCCGGGTGGGGCAGAAGTGTGCTTTGCTCACATGCTCCTGGCCTGGGGTCTTGGGAATCCAGTGCAGCTCCCCCACAGGGGGTGTCAGACCACAGAGAAAGGCTGGCCTTGCTATCTCCAGCTTTAGGAGAGAGATCTTCATCCAGGCCATTTCCGCCAGCAAACCTGAAGTCTGTGACTTAATACATCCATATTCCTTCATTCATTTCCCAGTAAAATAAAGATTCTGAATGGTATTGAATACCTATTAGGAATCTTCCAATGGCCATGCACACACTGAGACGGCCCAGGTGTCTACTGGGCCATATACACCAGGGATTGGGAGACGGAAGATCTGTAGGGGTGCTGGGTGTGGCTCAACTCCCACCCTGACCCAAGCCCAGTCTCCTGGAATTTCTCAGTCACATTTTATTAATTGTACAAGAAGGAGGTCATGGATTTTCTTTTAACTAAAAAGTGGTTAACTCAGTTATTACTCCTTAGTTGTGGATATACCATATTTTTTGAACTATAAGATGCACTTTTCCCCCCCAAATTTGGGAGGAATAATGGTTGTTAATGCTGCTATTGAGTTCTGTTTACAGCTACACTGGTGAAATGGTATGTTATTTATGTTATTAAATATTTTACGTTTTTTGCTTCAAAATTTATTTTCTTATTTTCCTCCTCTAAAACCTGCGTGTGTCTTATGGTCCAAAAAATACAGTAACTACTCTTGTATGTCTTTTTTTTTTTTTTAAGAAATCATGTTGGGCTAGGAGTATACTTGGTTATGAAAAGAGTAATGCCATGTGATTTGTAATGGAAGAAAGCTATTCTGTGTTTTACTTTTCAATGTCCACTACAAAGAGTGGCATTTTTGTCTAATGTCTTTCCTACCTTGCATGTACCAGAGCATTTATTTCACTGCATTTCTCAAACAAAAAGGAGAGGGGGACCTGGGGTGAGAGGCTAGTTAGAAAAAAAATCAAGATTAAGGAAAAGATTCTTCAAGAAAGAAAAGTAACATCATTTTCAAAAACATCATTCATCTAAAACAACTTTTCCATGTTGCAGGTATCTACAGAGTTCCTTTCTTCATCAGCAAGTGGTACGAGGACATGTATAAACACATGCACACACAGACATTTTTCGGTCTAAAAGAATTCCAAATTTACTCTTGAACAGAAATGGCCATGCTGTACATTAGTTGAATTTCCAGAAGATTGCCGTTTCAGTGCCCCCAGGCCCCCATCACACACACACAACCTGCACTCGTGCATGGGGAGCACCAATAAGAAGCACCGAGCTTTGAGGCTGGACGTGGGCAGCTTGGCCTGTGGCTCAAGAGTGCTGTCCGTGCAAAACAAGGATTACTGATGTTGTCTACAACGCATCCAGCCACAAGCTGGTCCTCACCAAGACCCTAGTAAACAACTGCATTGTTCTCACTGACAGCATACCCTTCCGACAGTAGCAGGAATCCCCAGTGGGGGATTGTGAGAAGGGGGGGCCAAGCTGACCCCTGAGAAGGAAGAGACTTTAAACAAAAACAAAGAAAATTCAGAAACAGTAGGATGAAAGGGAAAATCAGCTGTCTTCTAGAGGAGCAATTCCAGCAGAGCGAGAGTGCTGCATGCCTTGCTTCAAGACCAGGCCAATGTGGCCGAGCCTATGGTCATGTGCTAGAAGGGTAAGGAGCTGGGAGTTCCAACTGAGAAACTCAAGGCCTGGAAAGGTAAATAAGTCCTCCTCCCTCCTATCTCAGCTCATGTAATAAAGCTGTTTATTGTTCTCAAGCAAACAAATATAAATAAGTAAATAAATACATAAATAAACAAAATACCTCTAATGGTCTCAAGTCACATTTGACATAAATCCCCCTAAGGTATACTATATATTTGTACAACTTATTTTTGAAAGGTATTAATACACACTCAGTATCACATTGCACAGAAGTAAAGTTCTTAGTTTGATTTTTTTCTTCCCTTTAATTGATGTCAGATCTCAGTAGTCCCTTTGCCTGCTGTGCTTAGTTTGACTCAAACAGTTCATTCCTGACCCGTAGCTATGCTGAGTAACTGGTGACCAAACACACAGGTGTGTAAAACGAAACAAAGCAGAGCAAAGCTGTGTTGATAATCATTAGGGTCTTAGCGATGTCTATGAAAAAGTGCTTGGGTTTGGGGGAGGGGAATAGTGATCGATATCCAGAAGAATGACCTTTCACTCATTTCCTGATTCTTTTATAATTATAGTTCCCAAAGGGCTGAGAAGACTGCTTTCCACAGAAGTACGTGGTTAACGGAATTCAAAATTAAATTGTTTTAATATTTTATTTATTTAACTTAACAAAATTAATTCGGTAACTTCACATCTAACTTTTTAAAATAAACTTGAGTTTTAATAAAATTTGTTTCACTTAACATTTTGAGCAGCTTTACTTCCATTTGCCATTACTTATTAATTTTAATCTAACAGCTGGATCTAAATTTATAAGCACATTTTCATTCTCCTGTTTAGAAAGCTGTACATGTTTTAATGTGAATTTCATTGGTGTCCTTTACTACACAGATAAGTTTTATTATCTACACAGTACAGGTTCAATTTGTATACACTCCAAGTTTCTCATTTAAAGAAAGAGAGAGTTATACCAAAACTAACAAATTCAGTTCATCCCTTGCCATCAAACAAATACAATGTTTTTAACAGCTCTTTGTATTAGGAAATTCCTTCTTGAATATCTATATTCAAAAAACCTCTTATTATCTCTCAGGAATGATTGAAGTACCAATTTTTGATAAGATGGTAAACTAAAAGCAGTTAAAACAAATGACCTCACCCCTAACACTTTCAAAAGACCAGTTCTCGATTAACTGCCAAGTTCCAATTTATTATAATTACTTTCATTTTCTAATTTAGTAACATCTTGAGTTCTTTACAACCCTAAGGCTATAAACGCTCAAAACACATGTCTTTCAAAAAGTTTAGTTGGTAACAAAGCACTATATTAACTTGTGACTATTTAGGCCGGAGCAATTCCATTTAAAATAATCCAAGCTTGATGCACCTCTCCTTGTCCCTAATGCTTCCTGGCCTAAGCAAGCATGGGTCTCAAGTGGGCCTGGAGAATGGGCATATTCAAAGGGTGGTCAAGTGATATTTCAAGGCCCTGGAAGGTAGGGGCCACATATAATTCTTTGCTATCTGCTAGAGAGACTGCTTGAAGAGAAAAGTAAGATTTACACAAGGTGGAAGCAGACAGTAATAATCTAAGTACTGGGTTAAATTCCAGCTCTCATACTTAGCTAGGTTGCCTTGGATATCGAAGTTTACCTCTCTAGGTCAAACTGAAATACACCCAGCTTGAGGATTACCCAAAAGCGATTTAACTAAAAGTACCAAAGATAACTAATGAGATAACATCATCTAATAAGAAATGAAAATTTGTGTTGCTGATTTTATGCTGACCTTGTATATATTTTTCATGTTATTTTCAAACACATAATTCATGTTATTTTTATTTTCACTTGGGAAAAAAATTCATATGCACAAGAAAAATAATACATATTACACACAACTGTATTACTCAATGAATTCTCTTTAAAGTGGCAAGCAGATTTTTTAACATTTTAGGTAGAGTGCACTGTTATCTTTATTACTGAAACTTAATCCATGACAACATTGTAACACCAGAAATAATTCCAATATATTCTTCTTCAGATATTCTAAAATACAGCATTATTTTTTTTCTCCCAACTATACTGGACGCAAATTTCTCCAGTCACACTGACACCATCTTCTCTTCTTTATACACATGTGCACACACACTCTTCTCTTTCTTCTCCCTTTCCCTATATCCCTTCTTCTTGAGGTGACTACAGCCACTAGAGGGCAACAAGTTTACAAAGATAAATATACATATCTCTAATGAATTGAGATTCACATACTAATAAACGTAAAAACTATATCATCACAAACCCTACAGCACAGACAATTAGACTTAAATATGCAAGATATATAGTACTTTAAATTCAAAAATTATCCTGGAAAAGGAGTTTACAAACCATATAACAATGTTCAAGAAAAAAAAACCAGTACATTTTCAACCAAAATAAAACCAAAGGCATGAGTGCATGGAACAGACTGATAGATCTTGGGGGGGGGGGGGGTGCAGCACAAGAAGAGATTAGCCAAAGAACGTGTACATGCACGTATGCATAACCTATGGACACAGATAATAATGTGGTGAGAGCTGGGGTGGGGGGCGGGTGGAGGGGGACAAAGGGGAGAAGAAAAAGGGAAGAAACAAAAACACAGAAAGGCAGAATGTGCTGGGCGAGTAGAACAGAACTGTTTTCTTCCAACGCCTCTACTGCCCCATTGAGAAAACAATGAACTGAAGAATGTAGTGAACTTATAAACCCTTTCTTCTATTGAAAAGCAAGGGAAGTTTTTACAGGTATATCTTTTGGGGAGGAAAACACTGACTGTAGAGAGAAATATAGCCTTCACTTCTTTGTTCACAATTAAGGATGGGGGTGGGGTGGGAAAAGTTACCAGTCACTAATCTTTGACAGATAATTTTACCATTTTTTGCACAGAACATAAACTCAAATGAACTTACTTAATTTACTTTATATTTACGTACACTGACATTTTTAGGAAAGCATCATTTTCTTACCCTCATTGGATGAATATCAGCATAAGGAGGTTTTCCTTCCGCCATCTCTATAGAAGTAATGCCCAGGGACCAGATGTCGGCCACACAGTTGTAGCCTATTTCTTGAATGACCTCAGGAGCCATCCAAAACGGAGTTCCTATCACGGTGTTGCGTTTTGCCATTGTGTCCTGCAAAAGCATTACACTGACATAAATAATAGTACAAAAACACTAAGGAATCTGTTTGCCAACATATTCTTAAAAATATATATGTGAAACTCTCAACTACTACATGTTATAAATGAAACTATTTTCCTAAAATTTCAACTAGTTATGGCATGACATATTTAGGAATTCTGGAACATGTATGAAGGACACAGGGATGAGGACGGGGGGGGGATGGGAGGGAGGTAGGGAGCACGGGGTGGGAGGGGCTGGGATGGGAGAAATAGACAAAAAACTGTACTTGAAAAATAACTAAATAAAATTGAAAAAAAATAAAATAAAAATAAAAACCAGCCACAAAAGTGAAAAAAATAGCCAGGAGCCCACAAGTAACTTATTTCCACTATCGTCATGAAAGACAGTCATGAAAGACAGTATTGTAACAATGAAAGATACACAAATGAATGAATGCAGCTTTCCTTTTCAAACATTTAAGCATTTTAATGATATACATTTTCATATTCACTCAATGTCTCTTAAACTGTAAATAAAAGCAATACATAACACTCAAATTATGGCTCCTTCTACCCAAGAACAATGAAGTTATACAAGGTCTGTCCAGAATACGAAAAATAGAGACATCTATTGAAGAAGATATAAGGTACAAAAAACATTGTACATAGGATAGGACGATGATGCTTCAGTCCCCATCAAAGCAGGCACCTTGAGACCTCTCACAGTTCCCCAATTGCCATCAGCTGCCCCATCGTATTTTCCTGAATCTCATCAATGGTCTGAAATCTCTTCCCTTTCAAAGGTGATTCTAGTTTGGGGAAAAGCCAGAAGTCACAGGGTGCCAAATATGAGCTTTAGGGGTCTGAGTCACCTGGGAAATTTGATGTTTTGCCAAAAAGCAGTGCACTAGATGTGATGAGTGGGCACGTTATCACGGTGAAGCTTCCAATCACCAGTCACCCACAGCTGTGGTCTTCTGAATCATCCAAATGGTTTCCATGGGGGAATGTTCAAGTTAATGCAAAATCTGATGCAGATTTGTTCTCCACTCAGTCATTTAGAATGCCACAGCCAAAGAGTACCCATGATCTCTCAACAGTGTATACCCCAATGACTAGTACAGTGAAGTTGTCATTGTTCACATGTGTGCACTCCAGTCCACTCTCCTTGGCTGCCAGGTTAAATCCATCTCATGCAAACCATTCTCATTATATTAACAATGGTTGGAGTTTTTCCAGACAGACCTTGTACAGTTTTTCTATACCTCCCAAAAGTTATTAAAGTTTAGTTGCAAGCAAACCTGAACATATAAGCCAAAGTATTTCTGAAATTATTACACTTACTGTTAACTGACCAGCCACACCAAAATCTGCCAATTTTGCATGTCCTTCTGTATTGAGAAGAATATTTCCAGCTTTTATATCTCTGTGGATTTTTCTCATAAAATGTAAATATTCTAGTCCTTTCAAAGTCGATTTAAGAATAGTTGCAATTTCATCTTCTGTTAACTGAAAAGAAATATTTTTAAAACTTGACAGGTATACCATATTAGAGGAAGTCTTACAAGAGAACATGATAACAAGCACTTCTAACAAACATCGAACCTCTAGGAAGAGGCTAAAAGGTAAAACCTGAAAACTTCTTTTCCCCCATATGTACTGCCCCCGTCCATATTGCCATTTAAACTTTGTTAATGAAAAAACTTTCATCATTAAATTTCTCCTTTCTTTAAAATTATAAACATCATTCCTAAAGCACATAACATATTCCAAGAACAAGAGCCCTAAAAAATAAGCATTTCCCACATCTTCTAGCAAGGAGGTAGCAATATTGCAGTTATCTGTTCCCAAAAAGTAACTTCAGATACTTCCCTATGGTGCCTCCCATTCTCCATAAAAATCAAAACCAACAGTTTCACATACAACAAAGGAAAGGAGAAAGGGTGGATTGCCCAGAGGCTTCTGCGCGAAGCACCAGTAACACTCCTCCTGCTCCCACCAGGCTATTCCTCACCCACCCACGCCATGAATTTCTGCCCTAATACCAAGAGCTGAAAACAAAAATATCACAGAAAGACTAGGAGAATGAAAGAAAAAAAACCACTGGAAGTTACTGCAAAGTTGTTCAGTAACTTCCTTCTTTTCACAAATCGTGTGAGCCAAGATGTGACTCCTTATATGATCATAATCTATGCTTTAACCACTATGCAATACAGCCTCTCTTGACGAATCTTGATTAAGTGCAACCTGTTAAAGCTAATTTTTTTATATTTTATTTATTTATTTTTTGAGGGAAGGGAAGGAGAGAGAGAAAGAGAGAGAATAATAACAATGTGTGGTTGCTTCTCATTCACACCCTACTGGGGACCTGCCTGCAACCCAGGCATGTGCCCTGACTGGGAATCGAACTGGCAATCCTTTGGTTCGCAGGCCTGCATTCGAACCACTGAGCCCTGTCACTCAGGGCTGTTAAAGCTATTTTTATTGAAAACATCATCTGAGGTTTTAAATACATCAAGTGATATCAAAGTCTCTGAATAATAAAACTTACTTCTCACTGTAACACAACCACAAAAACCTAAAATATAAGTTAAGAGGGAACACAATATCAATTTATACAAAGATAAAAAGCACTGCTCTATATGAGAAAAAAGTAAAAAACTTAAATGCCCGACAATGAGAAAATAAAAAGATACTGCAGAAATTAAAAAGATAAAAGTATAAAAACCAGGTAGAATGTGAAAATAACTACTGGAAGGAGCTCCTACTGCCCCTACCTCCACAGAAGTTCATGCCTTAATGAATCAACTTGGGGGGACAACTGAAATTTGATATGCAAAAAAAATTTTAAAAATGAAGTAGGACCCCATCTCGAAATGTACTCAAAACAAATCAACAACATAAATATGAGTCAAAACCAAAGTATTTCTACCTACATCCCCATCTTGATTCTTAAAATAAAACATAAGGGTAAATATTCATGACCTTGAGTTTGGCAATGGATCATTAGCTATGACATCAAAGACACAAGTGTGAAAATTGATAAATTGGACTTCATCAAATTTTTTAAGTATATTTTATTGATTATATACTATTACAGTTTTCCTAAATTTTTTCTCCCCTTTATCTCCCCTCTGCCCTACACTATCTGCCCTTCAGCATTCCCTCCGTCCCCTTAATTCATGTCAATGGGTTGTACATATAAGTTCTCTGTCTCCTCCTTTTCCTATACTATTCTTAACCTCTTCCCATCTATTTTATGCCTGCCAATTATGTTTCTTATTCCCTATACCACCACCCCCATTCTTCCCCTCTCCCTCCCCCTCCCCACTGAAAACCCTCCATGTGATCTCCATTTCTCTAGTTCTTTTCCTGTTCCAGTTTGCTTAGCTTCTGTTTTTGTTTTTTAGGTTCAGTTGTTGATAGTTATGAGTTTGTTGTCATTTTACTGTTCATAGTTTTTTATCTTCTTTTTCTTAGATAAGTACCTTTAACATTTCATATAATAAGGGCTTGAAAATGATGAACTCCTTTAACTTGACCTTATCTGGGAAGCATTTTATCTGCCCCTCACTGTAAATACCTTTGCTGGATAGAGTAATCTTGGATGTAGGTCCTTGCCTTTCATGACTTCAAACACTTCTTTCCAGCTCCTTCTTGTCTGTAAGGTTACTTCTGAGAAATCAGCTGACTGCCTTATGTGCATTCCTTGGTAGGTAACTCTCTCCTTTCCTCCTGCTGCTTTTAAGATTCTCTCCTGATCTTTAATCTTGGGTCACTTAATTATGATGTGTCTTGGTGTATTCCTCTTTGGGTCCAATTTCTTTGAGATTCTTTGAGCTTCTTGGACTTCCGGGAAGTCTATTTCCTTTGCCAGATTGGGGAAGTTTTCCTTCATTATTTGTTCAAGTAAGTTTTCAATTTCTTGCTCATACTCTTCTTCTTCTGGCAGCCCTATGATTTGGATGTTAGAGTGCTTACAGTTGTCCCAGAAGTTCCTAAGCCTCTCCTCATTTTTTTGAATTGTTTCTTCATTCTGTTCCAGTTGGAAGATTATTTCTTTCTTTTGTTCTGAATCACTGATTTTGAGTCCTGGTTTCCTCCCCTCATTGATGGTTCCCTATATATTTTGCTTTCTTTCACTTTGGGTAGCCTTCATTTCTTCCTTCATTTTTGCATCAAGCTTAATCAGTTCTGTGAGCATCCCGATTACCAGTGTTTTGAACTCTGCATCAGATAGGTTGTCTATCTCATCGTCACTTAGCTCTTTTTCTGGAGTTTTGATCTGTTCTTTCATTTGAGCAACATTTCTTTGTCACAGCACACCTGTTATGTTGTAAGGAGCGGAGCCTTAATTATTTGCAGAGGCAGGGCAACCAACCCTCTTTGCTGCCTTGTGGTGCTGCCTGTGGGGGAGGGGTCAGAGAGGGAACAATGCTGCTCACCTCACTCCACTCTGGTCCCACTTTCAAATGAACTCTCCTGTGAGACTGGGAGTCTCTCCCCTCACCACAACCACCTGCAATGTTCTACAGCAAGCTTTGAGCCTTTGGTTTCCGATTCAGTCAGCCGCACCTCTCCCGCGAAGTCTGCCACCTTACTGCAAGTCCTCTCCACTGGGCTGCCCGTCTTTCCTTTCTTGGCCCCTCCTATTGGTCTGGGTTAATGCTTAACTCCTTGGTTGTCAGATTTCCATGCAGTTTGATTTTCTGGCATTTCTGGTTGTTTACTGTTTTGAAATTGGTTGTTATCCTTCTTTTTGTAGTGCAAGGAAGCAAAGTGTTTCTACCTACATCTCCATCTTGGTCAGAACTCCCAAAATTAAAAAATTTTATGTGTTAGAATGGGGGGGTAGGCTGGGTTGGGGGTAAAGGGAAGAAAACTATACTTGAACAATTAAAATTTGTTTTAAAATGTCAGTCAAAAATTTTTGCTTGTTAAAGAACACTACTAAGAAAGTGAAATGACTACCCACAGAATGCAAGAAAATGTTTGAAAATACTATATCTGATAAGGGTCTAATACCTATAGAGTATATAAGGACCTATTCTAACTCAACAACAAAAAAGCCAAACAATGCTATATAAACATAGGCAAAGGACTTGAATAGACATTCCTCCAAAGAATATATACCGATGGCCACACATGAGAACGAATCAGCATCATCTATCACTAAGAAATGCAAATCAAAACTACAGCAAGGTACCACTTCACACCCACTAGGACGGCTATAGTAATGAAACATAGAAACAACTGGGTTAGCAATGATATGAAGAAATTAGAACTCTAATACATTGCTGGTGGGAATGTAAAATGGTGCAATTCTGTGGAAAACAATATTTAGTTCTTAAAATGTTAAAAAAAAAAAAGTTAATCAAAGAATTACCATTTGACCCAGCAATTCTATTCCTATGTATACACTCAAAAGAACTGAAAACTATTACAACAAATCTATTTACATGAATGTTCATGGCAGTACTATTCACAATGGCCGAAGGGTTGAAATAACTGAAATATCTACCAGTGAATGAATGGGTAAATATACATATGGTGGAATACTATTCAGCCAAATAAAAAAAAAGAAATAAAGTACTGACATGTGCTTCAATCTGGATGGACCTTAAAAACATTATCCTAAATGAAAGGAGCCAGATACAAAAAGGCATGTGTTGTATGATTCTATTTACATGAAATACTCAGAACAGATAAGTCCATAGAAAATAGACCAGAGTGGTGATGGCCAGAATGCCAAAATTGGAAGTAGCTGCTTAAAGGGTATGGGGTGATGAAAATATTTTGGAACTAGATAGATGTGATGACGATGCAACAAGGTAAAAACACTAATATTACTGAAATATTCACTTTTAAATGGTTAATTTTATGTTACGTGAATTTCACCTCAATTTTTTAAATGACCTAACCATGTTAAAATTCCTGAGCAAAATGTAAGATGGCTTATATTTGCATGTGACATCAATATATAATGTCATAAATGTATTGTACATGTCTATTTGTATGAAGTAATTTTGAATAATGGTTTAATTTGGATAAATTTGCTTTCTTCATAAAACAAACAACCTGAACCTCCTGCTATTAACCTCTAAAGTGCCAACTTTCCCTAAACCTTTCTAAATTCAATGATCCTAAGACTATTCTAAGCCATTTCTCAATCATATACTCTTCAGTGGTCATCTAAGAACCTTACTTGATAACTCCATTCTACTGCAAGATAACTGATCCAGAATGCCATTTACCCATCCAACAAACATTTATCAAACACATTCCAAGAATTACAATAGTTGCTGGGGATATAGTAGTGAATAAAACAAGAAGTGTCCTTGTTCTCATGGAGCTTATATTCAATAGAGGAAAGGATAATTTGACAAAAAAAAATTGATAGAAAAGAGTTAAATACAAGAAAATGCCAGCTTCCGGTTAAAATGCCGGAGTAGGTGGACATGGTATTCACATCCTCCCACAACCACATCAAAATTACGACTAAACTGAGA